TTTGCAGAGGACGTTAGCCTTCTGTCCCATAAGCAGCAACATGCACAGTCCAAGCTTACCTGGCCTGAAGATCAACATCAGAAAAACAGAGGTGATGCAGCTGAACAACTGACAAAAACATCCACTGCAGCTACAGCGAGAAGACTCAGTGGAAACCGACTGCTTCGTCTACCCTAGGAAGAGTAGTCAACAGCAATAGTGGCGCAGATGAAGACATTAGGAGCCGGATCAACAAAGCAAGGCTTGCATTCAACATCCTGCGACCCATCTGGAACTCCAAAGCCTTATCTCAGCGCATCTTCAACACCAATTTGAAAGCAGTCCTCCTGTATGGGTCCGAGATGTGGCTGGGAGAGTTGGTCAAAATAAAATCAAAGACTCAGCAGTCCTGTTGCTCTATTTTCACCTGTATAGCAGGAGTGGGGCAGGCGGAGGTTTGCCCTGGTGCAGGTGTGCCGCCGCGGTCACACCTGCACCTGCACATAAGGTCAGTACTTCCACGCTTTAAACGCTGCACAGTCATACTCTCTCTGCACTCGTTATATTATACGTTTTTGATCTGCACACAGCTGTTACCACGAAAGTCACACTCGCTTACGTCATTGTCATGAGACACTCTCGCAAAAAAATCATGGTTTTAGTAACGCAGTAACTTACGGGAAAGTAACAGTAATCTAATTACCTTTTTTGCAATAGTAATCCCTTATTTTACTTGTTACTCTCAAGTAAAATAAGATCTCTCGAGAGTGAAGTGAAGGTCGCCAGAATGACGTGGACCCAGCTGAAGAAAACGGCTCAGAACAGAGTCCGTTGGCGTGGTGTTGTTGCACGTCCACCAGGAGTACTCAGAGCGCTGCATACAACACCGCATTCCCTTTCTACTATGCTTTTCAGTGCTTTCTAGTTAACAATAACACGCTAATGGATGCATTGGAGAGCAACCTGGGGTTAGTATCTTGCCCAAGGATTAATTGGCATGCAGACTGGAAGAGACAGAACCCACAGCTGGACTGGCCGTCAGGCATACCGGCCATTTGCCCGGTGCCCAATGGCAATTTTCCATTTTTATGGGCCGA